CCCCAACATATTTATACTATATGTGCGTCGCCCCCCCAGGGGCGACGCGCGCACCGAGAAATCTTATAGTATATGCGTCGTGGCGGGCGCTTTCTGGCCACACCGCTCGGGAAACGATATACTACAAGATGGGTATAATATATGTTCGGGTCGGATGCGCGCCTCCAAGGAGGACATATAGTATTAGTATGTCCATGTGCGTCCCACCAGAGGTCAGCGAGGAGCTGGCGAACAAGTACCTGCGGCGGGAGGACGGCCGAGGCTACAAGTGGATCCGGCGCGCGCTCCGCGCCTGCCCCGGCGGCGGGCCGAGGCGCCCTTCGTCTCGCCCCCCCCCCGTCCCCCACGGAGGCAGCCCTGTGTCTCGCTCCTCCTCCTCCTCCTCCTCCTCCTCCTCCTCCTCCTCCTGCTTCTCCTCCCCCTCCTCCTCCTCCTCCTCCTCCTCCTCCTCCTCCTCCTGCTTCTCCTCCTCCTCCTCCTCCTCCCCCGTCCCCCACGGAGGAAGCCCTCTGTCTCGCTCCCCACCCACCCCTCTCCCATCCCTGCACGTGAAAATCAAGCAGTGGCGAAGCGTCCTGGCTCGCCGATAGCCCCACCAAAGAGTGGTCTGAGAACCGTTCGTGGTTTGCACGAAGTGTTCTCAGAACAGTTCTGGCTGGGACTGTCTTGTTATATCACATCGGGTGTATGTTCTAAGAACATTGATTCTGTTATAAGAACATTTCTGGGTTCTAAGACTAAGAACATTTCGTGGTAGGACTATAGGAATGCCGGGACGGTCGGTCCCTGCTCAAGAAAAGGCACCCATACCATGGTGGACCGAGGCACCCTCCGTCTCGAGGGCCAGATGCCAGGACAGCCCCACAACGGGGGGGAGGGGGCAGGCCAGGTCGGAAAGGCCGCCCGGAAGGGCGAATCTTGTCCAGATGTAGCCCAGAAGCGGCGTCGAGGCGGCCGATCATGGCAAAGAGGCCGTCTGCCCCAGCCAAGCACAGCTAGTGATGTGGTGATGCTCCAATGTGGCTCCTGGTGGATGTGCCACCGTGATGCGGTGATGTTCCTGTGTTCCACTGTGGGAGGGGTAGAGGAGGGGGGGGGGGGGGGGCAGGGAAAGGGGGGAGGGCACCATCCTCTATCAGACACAAGGGAGCCGTCCCAGCCCTGGCGACGGGAGCAGGTGACCCCGCGGAGGGATTCAGTGGAGACAATACGCGGCATCTGTGAGAACACGGTGGCTAGACGCCATTAGGGGAGAGTGCCGACCACCGTGGAGCCGACGCGACGATGCTCGCAGACATTGTCTTGCCTGTATGCGGCCTTCGTGGCCCTGTGGAGCCTCTGGAGCAACTTGGGGACACCCGGAGGACTCTTCGAGGGCTGCCAGTTGGCTGCCTGGCCTCAAGAGGCCGCACTGGGGAGCTCGGGCAGACGACCGAAGCCCCTCAAGATGCGAGTCGTGACTCTGGCCTCCTCCTCCTCCTCCTCCTCCTCCTCCTCCTCCCTCATCTCCTCCTCCTCCTCCTCCCTCATCTCCTCCTCCCTCATCTCCTCCTCCCTTATCTCCTCCTCCCTCATCTCCTCCTCCTCTTCTCCTCCTCCTCCTCCTCCTCCTCCTCCTCCTCCTCCTCCTCCTCCTCAGCTCTCTTTCTCCACCTCCCCGAAACGGGGGGGTTGGCGGACCATAGATATACCTCCTGCCTTCTGGGGCGCCAGGGACTGCTTGCGCTCCCCGGCTGCGCGCCTCGCCGGGAGGAGAAGGAGGAGGAGGAGGAAGAGGAGGTAGGGTACAGTCAAAACCGCATTGTACTTTTCCAAGGGTACCCCATCTGCATCTCGGCCCATACCAGCCTCAGCCATTCGTGATGGGCTGCCCATTTCGGCTTTAATTTGGTCGTACATGGGTCTCGCAGCCGTACCGCACATTCTCGTGATCTGTTCGATGTATGCGCGTCATTCATTCCGGATTCGCGTCCCCGTTTGGACCGTGTTAATTTCATTTTGGCCCAGGTTTCTCCATGGATCCAGACGGGCCTCGTGAGGAGAGCCACCGCTCGACATGGCTGCAAGGAGCGTTGGTTTCTGGGCGGGGGGGGGTCTGGGATGGACGCACGATTGGAACCAGATCTTGGGTATGGCACCAGACAGACCTTGGTATTCTATCACGCCTCTAATTGCCCGGGGGACCGTGGCCGATACACATACATATATATATATATATATATATATATACACAAGATTGCATTGGCGCTTCGCGCCATGCACCTTGGTCCTTGAGGTTTGGTATGCAGGCGGAATGGCAGGAAGGTCAAACCGACGATTAAGCGATAACTCCTTGTTGCCTTTTTCCGACATCGCCGTTGTAATAATGTTATTCGTTGTCCTTCTTCCATGTTTTTTTTTTTTTCCTCATTCTCGCCCTACTCTGCGTATTCTCGCCATCCTCCCAGTTCTTCTTGCGGAGACTCCTCCTTGAAGAGCCTCTGGGGGCCGCTCGGACGTTCTTTCAGGCGTTCTTACGGCCTTCTGGAGGCCTCCTGGGCGTCCGGGGTCCTTTGGGGGTTTCCTCCGGCCATCCTGCCTCCAACCGTTGTCTCCCTGAACGGCCTGGTCACGATTTGGAATGCTTCGGAGGGTGTTTGGGGGCCATCTAAGGCCGTCATGGGGCTCTCTGAGGCCATCTTGGAACCCTGTTGTGCCGTCTTGTGGTTCGTTTGGACTGCCTGGAAGCCCTTTCGGATGGTTGTGGAGCGATTTTCGAGCCTCCCAGGCGGCTTCGGACGACCCCAGAAGACCGCCGTCTTTGGGGCCTTCTTGGGAGTGCTCTTGGGGGCCTCTTGCGAAGTTTTGGAGCGATCTTTGGGGGTATGACGGCTTCTTTGGGGTCGTCGTGGACCGTCTCGGGGCTCTCTGTAGTCGTTTCGAGAGCGCGCCGGAACGCTTGGAGCCCTCTGGGGCCGTCTTCGGGCTCTCGTGGGGTTCTCCCAGGTCGTCTGGAGGGTTGCCCGAGAGGCCCAGGGTGGGCCAAATTCGTTAGGGGGGGGGGCGCTTTTTCTCGGGTCCCCGTCCTTATGAAAATGTCTGAAGAGGAATATATGCATATACATGCACATATAGAGCGAGGGATACATGAAAAGAGATAGAGAAAGGCAGAAAGCCAACAAAATGGCGACGGAGAGACCATGGACGGATGGGGGTATACAGGCTGAGAGAGACCTTGTATCGACAAACAAAGTTGAGATATATATATATATATATAGAGAGAGAGAGAGAGAGAGAGAAAGAGAGAGAGAGAGAGAACGAGAGAAGGAGAGATAAACATAAACAAAAACGAGGACAACAAATCGGTACCATAGCCGATCAGACGCATGCGTACGAAAGTTGGAGCGCGTGTGCGAGAGAGGGGAGCCTGTGCGCCTTCGGAGTCGGAGATGCGCGACTTTGAGGGTTCTCGCCGTATCTGGCTAGCCAAGCAGGTTGGATGGTTTGTTGGCTTGCGGGTTCTGCAATACACGATCAAGATAATCAGGCAATGTCCTCGTACCTCCCGTCCCCCTCATCCACCAATTCCAATTCTTTCATTTCCTTGTGTGCATGCGCGCTTACGCAACCCAGAAAGTAGGCTTCTCGTGTCTGACAGATGAGATCACATTCGGGCGACCACTTGTCTTCATCAGGGCCAGGGCCGTTGGCGCGATGGTCGGGATTTATTTTTCATGATCGGACATATTCACAAATTGCTCATCTTCACCTTGACACGTCCTTCAGATGTTTCCTGGTTCCAACCTCCGAGGTTCGCCGTTCCAGAGTACACAGCAAAGGACAGCTGCACCTTGGGCAGCTGCAGGACATGCTGGGCGGCGTAGGCTGTGAGGTTGGTCGCGCGAGGGAGCCTTTGCGATTCTAGACAAAGACTCGCGAGGTGCGACTTCGTGCCGGTGGCCCCAGGACCACGCTGTCCCACGACAGGCGTTTCGTCTTTCGGGGGAGCGTAAGACCCGGGTTTGCCAGGACTCGGGTTCGCCATCGTTTTTTGACGACCGCGCCTCGGATTTTGACGAGGAGGAGTTTCGTGGGATGTCTGCAGCGGGAGGCCTCGTCAAAATGCAGGCTCGGCCTCGTCATTTTTTTGACGACCTCGTCGGGGATTTCCGAGTCCCCTGTACCCGGGTCTTACGTCCCCCTGAAACTTGTCGCGACCTGCGGCTACTGATAGCCCCGTGCGCGCCAGCGCAGCACGGGGCGCGGCAGTCCGACGGGATGCTTATTGCGTGATGGTTCGGCACGGGAAGTCCCAAGCACAGGCCTGGCGTTCTGCATTTGAACATCGGGGGGTGGAGGCGGGGGAGCAGAGCGAAGAGAAGAGAGATAGGTAGCAGGGAGGACGGATGAGGAGGATCTGCGGTGCCGCGGTGTGCTCTGGGCGAGCACGGTCAGGACATCAGGGACGTATCGTGGAAGCAGACCGAGTCGGAGACGCTTTTCCCTCCATATTCTGCGTTCCTTGCCAGGAGCTCAGGAGACCTTCACTCGTCACTCGTTCATTCTGCGCCATACTCTGGATCGGGCGGCCGATCTGACGCATGTGTGGATCGATCGGGATCGGGACGGCCAATCGGCACAGTTCAGGCCACTGATCGGCCTGCTGGGGAAGACTGCCTCTCAGGTCGAGAACGTACAGGAAGACTTCTGCCACTTGAGGGCCGTCGACAGGACGGGCAGTACGCGAAGGGTCAGAGGAGCACATGATATTGGCACCGCTGCTCGTCCCGGAGAGCTCGCGTCGCCACGGCCAGATGCTCCCGGAAATTCTTGTCAGAACGCAACCCAGGAGAGGTCCAAGGAGCAGCGGTATCGGTACCTGCTGGTTTCCCCAGGAGGGCAGGATGACGGGGTGCATTGACCCCCCTCTGCGCTGGTTCCAACGGCAGGGGGGAGGGGAACGCGTGGCGGAGGGTGAGCAGGTGGTGAGCACGGGGAGGAGCTGCCGCTCACAGGCTAGCAGAACCGTAGCCACTTGGCTCGAGCTGGGGCCCCCCTGGACAGAGACCACTGCATGGGCTGCCAGCACACTCGCCTGGGCCAGAGGCCAGGTGACGCACGCGGGGTGATGTCGACTGGGGGAGCTGCCCCGTCAGACATCGCGACGGCCTCCCGGGGTGCGCACGAGCCGCGGCCGCTGGTGGTCGTCGGCCACGGGCCGACAAGCCACGCGTTCCTCAAGAGCCTGCGGCTCCAGAGCCCCGTGGAATATCAGGTGACCGTGCTCTGCGAAGAGCCGAGGCCAGCGTACGACCGGGTGCGGCTCACGGAGTACTTGCAGGACCGCGACAGCGATCGGCGAGACAGGATGCGCCTCTCCTTGGTCAGCGAAGCTGAGATGCTTGGGCGCGGGGTGCGGCTGGTGTACGGCCGCGGGACGGCTATCGACCGGCATGCCAAGCTGGTGACCGTCGTTACCGTTGCTGGCGCCGAGGAGCAGCTTCCCTACGAGGTGCTAGTGCTGGCCACCGGCAGCAGCTGCTTCGTGCCCCCGGTGCCCGGCCTCTCCCTGCCGCACAAAGCCAATCCGTTGTGGCCAGACGACCCGGCATCTCGCCCGCCAGGTGTATTCGTCTACAGGACCATCGAGGATTTGGACAGGCTGATTGCTGCAGTCGAGCGCGGTGCAAGCAAGGCTGCGGTGATTGGAGGCGGGCTGCTCGGCCTGGAGGTCGCTGGCGCCCTACGCGACTTGGGCCTGGACTGCTGTGTCCTCGAGTCGGCTCCCCACCTGCTGTCGTCGCAGCTCAACAGGGCCGCTGGCGAGATGCTGGCCCAGAAGGTGGCCGACCTCGGCCTGACTGTGCACACCGAGGCCGTACTCGACGAGGTGATGCTACAGGATGGCCGTGCCTCCAGCGTGCGCTTCTACGCGGCCGGCGCCTCCGAGCCCAGCGAGGTTGAGGTCCAGATCGTCGTCGTCGCCGCGGGCGTGGTGCCGCGCGACGGGCTGGCGCGTGGCTGCGGGCTGGCGCTGGGTCGGCGCGGGGGCGTGAAGGTGGACTCGGGCTTGCGCTCGTCAGACCCCTCCATCTTCGCGATCGGAGAGGTCGCGGCCATCGGCGGGGACACATTCCTTTGGTAGCAAGTCATTGGAGCCTTGTTCAGTCTTTCAACTCCGCCTCCAGCGTCGACTAGCGTCGATGAGCGTCGATTCGGAAGAGCCAACGTGATGGCACGGGAGGCTCCCATGAGTTGCGGCCGAACACTTCAGGCCCCCCAACTGGGGCCCGAGTAGGTGGGGTCGGCGGATCGTCCCCGACGCGTCGGCGACGCCGCTCGATGTGGAGCCCGATCTCCTCTGCGCCGACGTCGCCGACGCACCGCCGACGTCGCCAGTGCATCGGCGATGCGGCATGATCCCCCGACCCAGAGTGCTCGGACCCAGTGTGGGAGGCCTCTGCACATGCTACGGCCTCTGGGCCCCAGGGGTCGAGCAGGCGGGCGCTCTGGCCAGGGTTCTGGCCGAGGGCCCCGGCGCCGCGCGGTACGAGGGGAGCGACCTGAGCACGGACCTCAAGTTGGCCGGCGTGCCAGTCGCGGCCTTCGGCCGCGACGCCGCCTTCTGGGCAGAGCGGCAGTTCGACGACGGCGCCCAGGGTGTCCGGCACGAGGACCTCTACGGCGAGGAGGCCGGCGTCTATGCAGTGGTGCTGCCGCGCACATTCCGCGTTGGGGGGAGCTGCGAGGCAAGGCGCCACGGCGCGGCGCGGCGGTGCAAGCACAGGGCCGTCGGACCTCTCTTCTTCTGCGGGTGGGCACCTCTCGGGCCGTCGTGGGAGGCCTTCTCCGGGGCCTCCAGCGGGCCTCTTCTTGTGGGCCTCGTGTTAAATCGGGCCTGTCCCTCTACAGGAGGAATACTCAAAAATAGGCCAAAAAATTGCATAGGGGTATTTTTTGACTATTGGAGAGGCCTGACTGCTGGTGCCGCCGACCCTGATCGAAAGGGCTAGGAGTGGGGGGAGGAAGCGGAGGATGAGGATGAGGAGGAGGAGGAGGAGGAGAAGGAGGAGGAGCAGGAGGAGGAGGAGAAAGGAGAGGAAGGAGGAGAGGGGAGGAGGAGGAGGAGAGAGGAGGAGGAGGAGAAGGAGGAAGAGGAAGAAGTGCATCCTTTGTGTGCCCGCTCGAAGAAAGTGCGCCCCGGGAGTGTGATATTCTGACTTGGGACGTGCTCCCAGAAGAGGAAGAAGTGCATCTCGGGCGTGCCCGCTCGAGGAAAATGCGCCCTAGGGGGGGTGGTATTTTGACTCGGGGCCCGCTCCCGGGACGCCTCTGCGGGAGGAGGAGGAGGAGGAGGAGGAGAGGAGGAGGAAGAGGAGGAGGAGGAGGAGGAGGAGGAGGGAGGAGGGAGGAGGAGGAGGAGGAGGAGGGGGAGGGGGAGGGGGGAGGAGGGGAGGAGGAGGAGGAGGAGAGGAGGAGGGAGGAGGAGGAGGGAGGAGGAGGAGGAGGAGGAGGAGAGGAGCAGGAAAAGGAGGAGGAGGAGGAGGAAAAGGAGGAGGAGGAGGACCAGGAGGAGGAGGAAGTGCATCCCGTGCGTGCCCGCTCGAGGAAAGTGCGCCCCCCCCCCTCTGCGGGGAAGGGATCAAAGGGAAGGGGCTTCCCTTCGACTCCCGTACGACGTCGTTTAATTCCGCTTTGGATAGCGCGCTTGAGGAGGAGAGCCTTGGGAGGGGGAGAGCGGAGACGACGGAGACGACGAGTCGAACGGAGAAACCCCTCACACACGCCGACAGGGTCGGCGGATTTTTCGTCCAAGTTCCCCCTGTAGCAGGACAGGCCCGACTTAAGCCTCGTGTAATTCGAGTGAGGTTTTGAGGGGCGCCTGCCTGGCCAACCAGGCTTTTACGCGACCCGTTGGGTGCTCCAGTGGTTCGACTACGCGTAAGAGTGACCTTTTGCAGGAGTGACCTTTGGTGCGGGCCCATTGTGGCCCCATGATCGACGAACGCGATGCGACAGTAGCTTCTTGCGCGCTTGTGTTTGGGCCCTCGCGGCCCCCAAAAAACCGCGCACCAAAGGTAACTCTTACCCAGGGTCACTCTTGCGCGTAGCCGAGTGGTCCAGCGCGCCCGAACGTTTTTTCCCCAACCATCCTGTGGTGTTGGGTCCTCGTTTAGAAGAGACGGTGCCCCGCGTTCCTTCTTCCTCATTCTCCTCGCCCTCCTCCCTCTTGCTTTCGCATGCCTCCCCACCACCCATGTCGGCACACCCCTCACACGTTTCGTGGCCCCATCGGCAGCTCCACCGAAGGCCCCAGTGGCTGCGTTCGCATGCCTCCCCACCACCCATTTCGGCACGCCCCTCACACGCTTCGTGGCCCCATAGGGAGCTCCACCGGAGGCCCCAGTGGCTGCGTTCGCATGCCTCCCCACCACCCATTTCGGCACACCCTTCACACGCTTCGTGGCCCCATGGGGAGCTCCACCGAAGGCCCCAGTGGCTGCGTTCGCATGCCTCCCCACCACCCATGTCGGCACACCCCTCACACGCTTCGTGGCCTCATAGGGAGGTCCACCGAAGGCCCCAGTGGCTGCGTTCGCATGCCTCCCCACCACCCATTTCGGCACACCCCTCACACGTTTCGTGGCCCCATAGGGAGCTCCACCGAAGGCCCCAGTGGCAGGGTTCGCATGCCTCCCCACCGATTTCGGCACACCCCTCACACGTTTCGTGGCCCCATAGGGAGCTCCACCGAAGGCCCCAGTGGCTGGGTTCGCATGCCTCCCCCCACCCATGGCACACCCCTCACCGTTTCGTGGCCCCATCTCCACCGACCCCAGTGGCAGGTTCGCATGCCTCCCAACACCCATGTCGGGCACTCCACCGAAGCCTCACACGTTCGTGGCCCCATAGCTTCGCATAGCTCCACCGAAGGCCCCAGTGGCAGGGTTCGCATGCCTCCCCACCACCCATTTCGGCACACCCCTCACACGTTTCGTGGCCCCATAGGGAGCTCCACCGAAGACCCCAGTGGCTGCGTTCGCATGCCTCCCCACCACCCATTTCGGCACACCCCTCATACGTTTCGTGGCCCCATAGGGAGCTCCACCGAAGGCCCCAGTGGCTGCGTTCGCATGCCTCCCCACCACCCATTTCGGCACACCCCTCACACGTTTCGTGGCCCCATAGGGAGCTCCACCGAAGGCCCCAGTGGCAGGGTCCGCATGCCCCCCCACCACCCATGTCGGCACACCCTTCACACGTTTCGTGGCCCCATAGGGAGCTCCACCGAAGGCCCCAGTGGCGTGGTGCCTATTAGAAGAGGGGCCTAGTTTGCGTGCCCCCTCCTTCGTCTCATATCCGTGCGGTACTCGCAGCTGCATATGGTTGGGTCCTTCGCCAGGTTATGTTTTTTTTTTTTTCCATATGGGTTGTCACGTCAGTGAGGTGAAGACGGCAGGTGTGAGTTGTGGAGCTTGTCGTCTCGGTTCGTTTGAGAAAAGGCCAAATGTGGAGCAGTGGTGGAAGGAAGCTGGCTGAACATTGGAAAAAGGGGCCACGTAAGCAGGCACGTAGATGAATGCACTGCAGAGTAGGAGTGCCCCCTTGTGTGTATCTACAGGTAGACGCATACGAGGGGTGAAAACTTGGTCCTGGCGACAGGCTCTAGGCTCCAGGACCCGGTTCACCTCAGGACACGACTTCTTCATGGCAAGGTCCTTTTTGTGCCCCAGGGAAGTTGGCCTTGTCAAAGATTGGCACCTCTACACTGATGCGCAGCGTGGCGTTCTAATGCACAGCACGCGCCGTGGGCGCGCTGGTGGATAGGCGGCTCTGCCTTTCAGCCGACGACAGCCGCCTGCTCGGAGGCATCCTGGTGGGAGACACGCGGCAGTTCGGCGCGCTGCTCGGGATTTGCAAAAACGGTGGCAATCCCGACAGCTTGTTGCGCGGTGGCGCTGATGACGCAGGCGACAGGGCGCCAGGGGGATGGCTGCACGTGGGCCACGTCTCCGAGCTGAACCAAGCGGAGCCGCGCGAGGAGGGCGGGTGGCGGGCGCTCCCCTTCGTGTGGGAGGGCGCGTCCTGCGCGGCGATGGTCCGGGACGGCGTCTGGGTGGCCTTTGCCCGCGCTTGCCCGCACGCGGGCATCGACATGTACGAGGGCGACATCGAGGATCTGGGCGCAGGGCCCATACTGTCGTGCCCCGCCCACGCCTACCTCTTCGACTGCCGCACGGGGGCGTGCCTCTGGGACTCGGCGCTCTGCCAGCCCGCCCCCACGCCGGCCATGGCCGTCTTCGACGTGGAGGACAGGGACGGCCACATCTGGGTGCGCCCCCGCGGGGGGCCCGCCCCGCAGCGCGCCGCCTGGAGCCAGGAGGAGGCGAACGCGCTCCAGATGGCCTTCCTGGACGTCGTGCTGAGCAGGAAGTTCCCCGACTGACACGGCAGCCGCGGACGCGCCCGCGCGGGATGGGTGCCGCTGCCATCGGGGCGTTTCTTTTTGCCGGGGCACAGGGCTTTACTTCTTGTGCCGGGCACCTGTCCTCCATCTCCTCCTTTTTCCTACATCCCGCCCCCGAAGAATGTGCCTGGGGAGGGGGAGGAGGAGGAGGGGGAGGAGGAGGAGGAGGAGGTGGAGGAGGAGGAGGAGGGGGGAGAAGGCTCTCTGTTTCTTTTGACGTGTTTCTCCATCTGACAATTTATTATGTTGCATGCGTCCTCGGGTCGGGTTCACGCTGGGTCATAAGCGCCCTCGGTCAGCGTCGCGCAGTGCCCGAAGTCCTGGACATACGATGGGCTGCCGGGATGCTGCACACACGCTCTTGCACCTCTCGTCCCATCGGGCAGCCTTCAGGAGGGGGAGGAGCAGGAGGAGGAGCAGCAGGACGCATACCTCCATCGCCCTCAAAAATCCCACATGCAGACGACGGCCAGTTTCTTTCAATCTGGGCCTCCAGAGGGCCTCTTCGGGGCCAGGGTCAATCAAGAAACGATGCACGGCAAGAAGTCTCTGCGAACATTTAAAGGTATTTCCAGAGCCCCACGCATTGTAAAGAGCAGAGCGCCACAAGTCTGGAGAAGAAGGGTCGACAAAGGGGGTGGGCGTGGGAGAGTCAGGATGCGGCAGGACCGGATGATAATATTTGGCGTAGACAAACTCTCGGAAGCCCGTGCGGATTTCTTGGTCGGCGCTGGGACCCCTAGCAGCGCCTCAGGCGCCGCCCCTGGCTCGCTGCGTGCGCCAGGGAGGTGGGTCCAGCGCCGATCCAGGACTTCCGCGCGAACCTCCGAAAGCGTAGTTGTTTATGCCGCTGTAGTCCTCTACAGGAGGCAGGTAGCAGGAGGGGGGGGGGGGGGGGGAAACGTAGCGGTCCACCACCCAGGGGATGGCAGGCCATGTCGGGGCATAACAAAATTTCATCATCGGCTGACGCCGTCAACGCGTCAACCCGTCGACGCACGAACCCGTCCACACATCAAGGGCTCAGCCCGTCAGCCCGTGCCCCTCCCTCCCGTGAGCTTCGCACGCACGTCGGCTTGCTTCCAGGTGCGCTTCGCGCTGCTAGCCTTGACGCAGGGAAGCTCAGTCCCAGTGTGCTGGTTCCTTCCAGACAGGAGGAGGAGGAGGAGGAAGAGGAGGAGGAGGAGGAGGAGGAGGAGGAGAAGGTCGCTTGGAGCGTGCTAGCTTGCTACCAGCGTACTTACTCCACGCTGCGCGTCGTCGAAAGCTCCGTCCGAGCGAGCCCGCTCGCATCGGGCCACCCGGTTATGTTCGGCAGTGTTGTCTCAATGTCAGTGCATGTCGTGTCGCCGGTGTTGTCGGCAGGACACCCAGTCTGGGCGTGCAGGCCAGCTCCCGACGCGCATCGTGCGCACGACCGGCGCTGTCGGCAGGAGGGTCATTTGGAGCGTGCAGGTTCGGTTCTGGTCCACTTTGCAACACCAGCGTTGCTGCCAGCGTCAACGCGTCAATGATTAATGCGAGGCCTGTCAACGTGTGTGCACGTCAACCCTTCAACTCGTCGGCCGTCAGCAACCCGTCAATCTATCAATGCGAGAACACGTCAATCCGCCGGTCTGTCAGCACACGCCAACCCGTCAATGGGTTCATCCGTCCCTGCGTCAAGCCGTCACAGCTTTGACCTGTTAGCCGCCAGCCTTCCAGACTCTGATTTGCTAATTCTAACTGCTCGGCCTAGGGAGCTCTCTTCCCTCTCACTCCCCGAAGGTGACCTGGTGGAGAGCAGGAAGCAGGAAGAAAGTGGGGAGGAGGAGAAGGAGGTTGGTTTTGGGACGGATTCTGCGGAGCTCCTCATGGAGCAGCAGGCGGCGGAGGAGGAGGAGGAGGAGTTGCCCGTCTACAGCCACGAGAAGCCCCTACCCAAGCCCCGCCCCTCCGCCGCCCAGGTGAGCGGCGACTGTCGCCTGGTTTTCCCCCCGCCGCCTCCGGCCCTGCACCTCGCCCTTCCCCATTCCTGGTCCCCCCCCCCCTTGGTTCCCGTCCTCGTCGTTCTCGTCGCCGTCATCCCCCTTCCGTCGCCCTCCTCCATTGCCGCTCCTCGTTCCCCTCCTTGTCCACACCCTTGCCGTCGTCGCCATAGTCTTCGTCGTTGTCGTCGTCCTCCCTTTTCGCCCTCGCCCTGCTCGTCCTCCTCCCCCTCGCTCGAACCCACCCCCTCAGGGGGGATGACCTCGGTGAGTGCACGCGGTTTTCGACCTCGTCGCACCCGTATGTAGGCCGCTCGGTCCGCCTGACCCCCCCCCCACAGTGAAAACGAGCATGAGCTGGAGGAGAGAGGGTATTGTGCCTAGCCTCTCTTCCCTCCTCTTTTCGGGGAAACGTAAGACTCGAGTAAGCCAGAACTCGGGTTTGCCGACGTTTTTTGACGAGCGCGTCCTGGATGTTGACGGTCCCGTTTCCCTGGTCTCTCACGAGTCTCACGTCTCGCTGATCTCTGTTCCTCCCCCAGCCTCGGGCGCCGTGACTTCGCTCGCAGCATGGACCCCCAGATCCCTCAACCACGGGCACCGTTTTGCCTCGCTGGCCGGTCGGTTTTCGACGGCGGGAGCCCAGCCGGGGCCCTTGGGTAGGCCGCGGGGGGGCCGCGTTTTGGGCCTCCCGGGGGCCTCTGCGGGCCTCTCGGGAGCTGCTTGGCCTGCCCCGCCCTGCCTCAGATGGCCGGAGAGTGCCCGCCTCCCTCCGCGTGTGGTTTCGGCACGAACGAAAGGGGTATGGAAAGAATGGTTGCAATGCCCGACAGCAGTTCCTGCTCATTTTGATGAACAGGACTCGCTGTCGGTGTCGCCGCGGCATGTGTCCATTTGAGACAGAAGGCCGCCTGCCCAACAGCGGCCGCTGTTGGTTTGGGACAACATCTGTTGTTGGGCATTGTACCCATTCCTTCCGTACCCATTTCGGCGTCCAACTTGATCTTCTGCACACGAGAGATGTCATGATCCGGTCTTTTGCTGATATGTTGTTCAATCGGATCGTGTCTGGCGTCTCACAGTGGTGCTCCCGCTTCAGCGTTGGCTTCGTTTCGGGATCGGCATTCAGCTCCGATCGTTCCAAATGGCGCTCTCGCCCGTGCGTGGGCCATTGCTCTGCTCCCAGCGTGGGCCGCTTGGCCACCTTCCTGGAGCCGAGTGCTTCTGCATCCTTGTCGCCCCGCTCCTTTCCCTTTCCCCACCTTCCTCTGGGAATTCTGCTCCTCCCGCTTCTCCCAATCCTGCTCCTGCTGCTGCTCCTCCTCCTCGTCCTTCTCCTTCTTCTTCCTCCTCCTCCTCAACATCATCATCCTCCTCATCATCGTCATCGTCATCGTCATCGTCACCATCATCACCATCATCATCATCAGCATCATCATCATCATCATCATCATCCTCATCCTCATCCTCATCCTCATCCTCATTATCATCAGCATCATCATCATCATCATCATCATTATCATCATCATTGTCATCCTCATCCTCAGTCTTATCCTCGTCCTCATCTTCCTCTTCCTCACGCTCATCCGCCACCTCGTCCAATGTACGCAGCTCCCCTGCTGTGATTTGCGTATGACACAATGTGATTATTTGGGGTCCGCGATGAGGCTTGTCGGTGGATATAGAGATCAACCAGCGCAGAAGAAATGGATGCCCCCTCCCTCCCGTCCCTCCCTCACCTCTCTACCCCCCTCCCTCCCTCCCTCCTCCCCAGACCCCCGACGTTGTGAATTTCTCATGCCATGGACCCTGGAGGTCTCGATGCAGCCCCCGGGTCTGTTGTCTCTGCCCCGAGCCGTGCCTGACGGCCCTGAGGCACGGCGAGGGCCCCCTGGCCCCCGACGTGGAGCGGCACCTCTCCCGCCGTGCTCTCCTCCTGACTCGAAGGGGCTCGGGGCCCCCCCACCCCTCCCTCCTCCTCCTCCTCCTCCTCCTCCTCCTCCTCCTCCTCCTCCTCCTCCTCCTCCTCCTCCTCCTCCTCCTCCTCCTCCTCCTCCTCCTCCTCCTGGGCATCGCTCGGACGTGTGCGTGTCTTCTCGGCGAGAACCAGCGAGGACCATCCTGGACCATCGAGCCACAAACAAGCACGCGCGAAGCCGAACGAGAATGCACGGGACGTGGACGTCCGAGCGACGGCAAGCCCTCCCTCCCTCCCCCCCGGCCCCCTTCGGGCGCGCCCAGCGCTGGGGGCCCAAAGAGAATATACACCACCACCACCACGTCGATTCCTCCTCTCTCCTCCTTCCAGCGAGAGGGTGTGGGGGGAGGGAGGTGGTGGTGGTGCATATTTTTTGGGCCGCCTGCCGCGCCCCCCAAGCCCGCCGCCCGCCCGCCTTCCCAGGAGAGTGGAGGTCAGCGCCCGCGCGGAGCGCCACGGCCTGCGGTCGGGCTCCGAGATCATCGGCATCTGAGGGCCGGCCCCGCCCGCGCAGGCGGCACGGGCGCGCAGGTCGGGGCACGGGCTCTCCGGGGGCCACGGCATATAGGAGCTCGAGGACTCTGCGCGGCGAGGTCTTCGGGCGCGTCCTCGGCGGTCCTCGTCGGTGCTCCAGCCTCGGGGGTGCGGTGCAGCGGGTGCGCCCCGGCGAGGGCGTGCAAGGGGCGGGAGGGCCGACCTGTGCCCCGAGAGCCAGGGAGCGCGGGCAGGGGCGGGGTATGCTCCGGGGGGGACGCATCGCCCCCCGGTCGCCCGTGGATCGCCGACGGGAGCCTGATGTAGCCGACCCAGCCCAATGAACGTGAGGATTCTCCGCTGCATCGGGGGCATACATATCGCCGATCCGTCGACGATGTATCGCCGAGTCAAGCTCGCTGGACATCGCTCGGGCGTGTGCTTTCGTTCCCTCGGCGAGGGCCGCCGAGGAGCACCTTGGATCATCCTGCGAAAAAAGGAGACGAGCGAAAGAGAGCTGCGCACGGGAAGTGGACGTCAGAGCGATGGTAAGCTCGATGTGACCCCCCTTTTACATTACCAGCTTGAAGCATCTCATTATCCTTATTTTTTTGCATCACCTGACCTCGGTGCCGATCTTGAGGATTCCCTCAGTCTCTGAGGGCACAGCCCTAAGACTGTCATCGCCTTGGGCTTGCCGATCTGACGGGGTAGGGATACGCTCGAGGCTGGTCATAAAACGTTGCCCCCTCGCACGGGCGGAGACCTCCCACGCGGGTGTGAAGAGTCTACCTGCCAGAGGCTACTTGTGGCGCCGCCTTGACCCTCGGAGGGTCTCGGGGGCCCCGTGGGCTCCTCGGAGGGCCATCGAGGACCAGATTGGATCATCTAGCGAATACGCAAACGCACGGAATCGATAAATGCACGCAGGGAAAAGGCGTCCGAGCGATGGCGAGGGGACGTACACGTACACGAATCC